CCGTCTGGATGTGATCCTGGGCAATGTGCTCTAGGTGACCCTGCTTGAGCAGGGAGGTTGGACTAGATGATCTCCAGAGGTCCCTTCCAACCTAAACGATTCTGTGATTCTGTGATTTCTAGCCCAAAATAGCATACTACTTATACATAGAAGCTGTTTGTGCATATATTAACTTTCTTTTCCCAGTACTAATAAGCTCTGCAAAGATATGTTCTTAGCATAATCTCCTAGTTTTGTTAGTTAAAAAATAACCCCCTCAGCAGTTTTTCATATCATGTGAATCACTGTAAGTAAATCAGAAATGGGTTTGCAGGAAGCAGCCACAGAGGTGACACGTTGTGGAGTAAGGATGTTTCTGGGGTTGGAGGTGGATATTTGGGAACAGAAATGTAACAATTCCACGAGTAAGGGAATTCCTGCATATTGCTGTTTTTATTGCTTGGTGTGGATGTGACACAGCAGTTTCCCAAGCTGAAATGCCAGCAATTGAAGCTTTTTAATGGGCAAGTTGAGGACAAAGCATGGTGGTGGGGGGTGAATTTTAGCCTCTGTAAAAACACACAGGAGTACACAGATATTTCAGAGCAGTGTTCACCACAAGCTAAAAATAGGAGCAGCTGCCTCTGGGCTTCGCCTGCATTTGCCCTCAAGCACATGGGGTCAGACGTGGGGCTCAGTCACACTCAGCAGCAGAGTGAAGGGATGTTGAGCTTCCCCCATACCCCTCCCTACCTCGGTGGGGAACCGAGCTGGGGGTCACTCAGAGGGAAGTGAGGACATGGCAGAGGCATCTTTGGAGAGGACAGCGATTTCTGGGCAGTTCTGGCAGATGAAGCTTTTAAAAACCCCTTGGAGGCCCTCGGCTAGACTTTGACACCTGGGAGCGAGGCCAAGTTCAGTGCTGCCATATCAGCACAGGAGCCAGAGCGGGGTCCAGGTCCTGCTGCTGTCATGGCCACGTCATGCAATCAGGGACAATTTAGGACACAGCATGTGCTGTCCTTGCTGCAGGATCACTTCAATCTGCCATCAGGGCATCCTGGTTGCTCATGTCCATGCCCCTGGCAGCATGACTGCGTGGGTGGCCTCTCCCTCACCCGCGCTGTGCATGATCTAGTTTAATGCTCTTTAAAATACAGCTTTTTAACTCAGATCATTTGGACAGAACCCCATCAGGGAGCAATTGCACACCTTGGGATGGAGGGGGTGCAAAACTAGGGTGAGAGAGAAGCAGCTGGGGCAGCAGCCGCGTAACACAGCTCAGCTGCAAACTGTGTTCTCGCTTACCCTTTCTGGGCTTCGTCCACACCTCCCTTCAGCAGGGACAGCCACGCTTACCCACACACATGAAGGGCTCTGTGAAATAAAAAGGAGCAGGGCTGTAAAAGTGCTAATGTTATTATTCACCAGTCTAACCTTCGGCAGGAATTTGCATGTGAGAGTGAAATGTCTCTTTACTGAAGGTTGGTCTGCACACAGAAATGACTCTGTGCTGACCTGTGATTCACCTCCTCCAAATGACAAACTGTTAAACACAACAGCCTTTGCTTACATTAAGTGCCTAAAGCTGAGTTAATTAACATGTACCTCCAGGCCATTTCCTAACAATTTCCAAAATCTCTAGCTTAGAAAATCTTGCAGAGGAGTCGGATCATCTCATGCCTATTCCCACTGTTGATCATTTATTTTTTGCCAAGTGCCTACGTGTGAGTGAGTTACTAATGTAAGCTAAAACCCCAACATAAATCAAGTTTAAACCCTTGTATGCCCTTCTCACGAGCCTGCAGGTTGGGGGGCTCAGGCTTCAGCTAGTAAACCTAAAAACCATGACAGAAAATGCCAACCTTTGCATTGCTGCTGCATGCTTGAAGCTACCAGCCAGTTCATAGCAGCACAGAAACCAAATGTGCAATTGCACAGCAGTTGGTGCTCGTCTGCACTGGGGGTCTCACCTCTCCAGCTGCCCCTGCCTCCTCCCTGCACAAACTCCAGTGCTCACTGAACTCTCCTTGAGCTGTTGTGGTGACTAAACTGGCAGAAAAACACCCAAGTTTTTGGTTGGTTTGCAGAAATGGTTCAGTGTCAGTCAGCAAAGCACAGGGGCTCTGGTAAAGGAAGAGGAGGGAGCAAGCACCCAGGGACACAGGAAGGAGGAAGCCCTACATTTAGCATGTGTATCAGGTTAACCTTAGCCTGCCACAGATGTGCCTGCTTCACTATGCACCTGAAAACCGAAGTTTTCTCTGGGTAGGGTGACATCCACGCGTGATGGCCCAAGTCACCTCTTTGTTACCAGATATGCATGAGACTAGAGCTGAAGAACTGCAGACTCTAGGCAGGTTTATCTGGCTTGTTGTCTGTGAGCAATGTAGTCAGTTGAAAGGTGGGCTGCTAGCAAAAATACACAAATCAGTATGGATATTGTCTGTTAGATGAGTCCGATATACCAATCAAAGGAACCACCTCAGTCTTCCTCTAACACCGAAGGCTGTAACCTAATTGACAGGGATCAAGATTTTTCCAGGGTCATAAAGCTACCTTCCCCTCATAAATCTCATGATACTTAAAATACAACTAAGGAAAATCTACTGTAACCTAATCCTGTTTAAACCTAGTCTGATCTGGTCTCCCAGAAGCATTATCAAAGACCTGTGCACAAACCATTTCACAGGCTCCTCTGGAAACCTGTCGCATATTTCGGATGTGCTGACCTACTAATGTAAACCTCAGTCAAAGCTACAGTAAAAATGCTGTTCGTCCAAGGAAAATCTCGATCAGCGTATACAGAAGGGTCAGTTCTAGAAAAACGTGCAGGCAGGTTGGGTGGGCTTAACAATTTTTTAAACAGTGTTATCATAAAGGTAACAGTACACTACTGTAAAGAGTAGGTAAATGGGAATTGGGGACAATGACTGAAATCACTTTTCATCTCCTCAGATCTGTGCTCTGATCTCAGCGATATTACACATGAAGTTTCACAGTGGGACTTCATCCTGTTTGTCTATACTGCAAAATCACCAAATAATCTGGCAAAAAAATTAGAGGGAGGTGTTACAAGTCTCTGAAGATGAGTGGTCTGAGCCATAGGGAGCCTCTCTCCACCTACATGTTTGTCCTGTAGCAGCTTAGTTTGTGCTTATAACACCTGTCTCACAAAAGAGTTCACCAACAAACTGATAAACGCTGCCACCAAAACGCTTTGAAGAAACAAAATATATTAACTACATGTACAAACCATTGTCAATAAAATCAATAAGTAAAATCAACCAATAAAGAGGAGTCCAAATATGCATACAAAAACATGCGTGTAGCATTTTTTTAAACACCTTTCAGGAGCTGGATGTACTTTTGACAAAGGGCCTGAGTATCATTATCTCTGTTGTTACAGTGAGAAAATGAAGCTGAAAAAAGAGAAATGATATACTGAGAAGGGGGCCCCATTCTGGATTTCCAGCCTCATTTTATCCTCTAGGTCATGTTGGCCTCCATTTATATTGCTTTTATTATTGAGCCATTAAAAAGAGCTATAAGAAGATCCTGAAAACAACATGAGGGTGAACCAGGAAAAGAAAGTTAAAAGTAACTTACCATAGAGTTCTCACAGCCCTGTAAAACAACAGTAACAAACCCCCCAAACAAAACATTTTAAAAAGGTGCTTTTCACTAAGAGTGAAAGAAACCATTGTGAGGCTAGCTGGTTGTGGGACCGGAGAAGAGCAAAACTAGTTAAGATGCAGCCACAATTTCAAGTAGCTCTGGCTGGAGGAGTAGCACATGGAGTACTAGGTATCTAAGGGGCCTTGAGTCAAATTAGGTAAGTACATTTGGCTATTACACAGTCAGTGAATCTAACTCTTCACTTGGATTTAAACATTTTTCATGAGCAACCCAGCTCTGGTGGTTCATTCAGCAAACATGGCCCTGCTCTATCACAAGGAGAGGTAATCTTACAGTGATGTTTGGGTTGGTCTTATACAGAGCCAGCCACTTTCTAACTACGTTATATGACATTGCAAGTGTCAGGCTTATGTTCAGTTGAATACTTTGAAAAACAGGATATTAACTGGAAGAAAAAACAAAAAAGACCAAGGAACTTTATATTTTATAAATAAAATATATTAAATTTCTTAATACACAAAAACACATTTAGAGATTTAAAAGAATACATGCACGCCAGTTACAAAACCATACTGAAAACAAATAAAATAAGAGCTTGCTCCAGGGTAATGTGAAATATTGTCATCTATGTATGGATTAAAAATAGTATTGTACTCAAAGGCTAGTCATTTAATATGAGAATCATTCAGAAGAGAAACCAGAGCCTGCAGGACATGTTTTAAAGAAAGAGGCTATCAAAATACTTTGTTAGTGGCACAGGTTGTGGGTAACCTCACAATGAAATGCAGGCAAAGAGGAAGGGACTTGACTCCAGCAGACCCCTTTCGGGTGCCTGTAAACTTGGTTAATACAAGACTTAATCTGCCTCAGCTCAGGACTGATTACACAATTCAACCCTGCATGCCTGTACTCAGAAGCCTGGATACAATTATACTACTTACTTTTAATTTTTCTCTCTATACTAAATAAACCTCAATTTGTGATAATTGGGCTTACTGCTACACCAAAATTAATGCTGCAAGCTGATTTTAGAGACAAGGAGAAACTAATTGAGGGTACCAAGAAATTTATTAAAGATATCCTACTTAAGGGACTTGAGTCAAAAGGAGAATTGAGCTGAGAAGCCTAGCTACAAGTATTACTGCACTACTAGCCACAAGCCTATGAGAAATAGAAAAAAAATACACTGAAAAGAAAATAGCAATAAAAAAATTATATTTCATCTAAAACTTATTGCAGAGCACAAAAGGCAACATGAGGCACAGCTTCTTCAAGAATCACAGAACGGTTGAGGTTGGAAGGGACCTCTGGAGATCATCTACTCCAACCTCCCTGCTCAAGCAGGGTCCTCTAGAGCACATTGCCCAGGACCATGTCCAGATGGCTTTTGAATATCTCCAGGGAAGGAGACTCCACTACCTCTCTGGGCAACCTGTTC